GAACATGATATTCTGCCTCGCCACAGGCCCAGAGTGATGGCTCCCAGCAACCGTGGACTGAAATCTCAGAAACCATGACCCAAAATAAAAAGCTTTCATTCTTTTAACTTGTTTCCCTCAAGTGACTATTTAGTCACTTTATTTGTTCCTGAGACAAAGTACCTGACCCCTCCAACTAAAAGGAGAAGGTTATTTTAGCCCATAGTCGGCCACATCCAAAGCAAGAAGGCATGGGGGAAGGGCCTGGAGGAGGAAAAGCTGCCCACCTTATGGCCGACAGGAAGCAGAGCGAGTAGGGAGGAGAGAGAGGGGCAGGGAGCTGCACCCTCCAGGCCATGCCCCAGTGACCCTTCTGACTGGACCCCGGCCCCCAGCAGCAAGTCAGCGACGAGCCCCATAATCAAATCACCTTCCAGGGCTCTGCCTCTGAGTGTGTGCGGTGTTGGGGGCCACTTAGACACAAGCCACAGCACTAACACAGAAGCCCAAGTTACACAGCAAAGTGTAAGGCGCTTTGTACTTTGCAAGTAGTCGTTATTAGCAGGGTTGGAAGTTCAAGCATCTGGCCAAGAAGGGAGCGGCTTAGTTGCTATTTCATGCCTTTCATTTCTGCTCCACGAGGCACAAGTCAGCAGCACAGTCTAAGAAACTGATTGACTGACTGATTGATTGATTGATTGATTGATTGTAGTATTGGGGGCTGAACTCAGGACCTTGTGCTTGCCAGGCAGGCACTCCTTCTAGTGAGCTATCTCCCCTGCCCTCAGACTAAGAAATTTTAGTTCCGATTTCTACCCTAAATGCACCAGCACGTTGCTAAACATCTAATATATTGTTTAGCTTTATGTGAAAATTCATCTGACAAATTTTAACAAGATAAAAATATTCCTAAAATTTTAAAGATTTACTAAATTCTTCCTGGTGGCATAAACGTACTGACCATGGCTTTGATTCCTTCAGGAAAGAGGAAGCGATTATAAAGCGTGTCCACTGTGTCATCTGGCTTGACGTCACAGGATCGCTGAAGAAGGATTGGTCCTGTGTCTAACCCGTCATCGGCCCAGAAAACAGAAAACCCAGCTTGCTTGTCTCCCATGATTAGAGTCCTGTGAAAAGAAGTTTCAGTGCAAGATGTTGCTTGCTATGATTTGCGTCCAGATGTTCCCCCAAGGCCTCTGCAGTCACGGGGCAGGCTTCTAGAGTGATTGATTAAAGGATTGGTTGATTGAATGATTGATGGGCCAGTGCTGGGATTATGGGTGTGAGGGCTACACCTGCCCTGCGGCTGGCTCCCTGCTGGCCCTCCCATTTTGCTATTGTTGCTTTTGCTATTTTCTGCTGCTGTGAACTGCCGCCCTCCGCCGTGGGCCACCCTGCCTTGAAGCCAGCCGAGTACAGACCGAAGCCGCCACCAACTGTGAGCTAAGTAAACCTTTCCTTCCTCAGTTCCGTGTGTCTGGCATTTTGGTCTCAGCAATGAGAGAAAAGTAACGAAGACATCGGTTCAGCATATCACCAAATGAAGAATTAGTGACGCTAAAGGAGAAGGTGGCTGTGATGGAGAAGTAGACCGGGGAAAAAAGTGACTTTGAGAAATGGGCGGCAGAGCTGGGAACTGTCAGAGGTCACAGAAAGCAGCACCTGACGGCCGTGATGTCCCAAACACCTTCGCAACTGTCGTCTCTCCTGTCTGTTGTGCGGTGACGGCTTGCAGTGACTTCAAAGGGCGTTAGAACCCGTGACTACAACCAGTCATCACCCTCCACGTCTGCGCTCCCTACTACAGGCCAAGTGACGTTCCCACCTGGGTCTACTTCCTACACTATCTTGGCCTCAGGTGAGGCAGAAGAAGAGCAGAAAATAAAGCAAAACCATATGCTCAGTGCAATGTGGAGAGGAAACTGGTGATTAATCTAGGTTTCTGATTGAGGTACAAACATTGCCTAGGACAAGGATTGGTTAAAGACTACATAGGTCACAAAAAGATGGGGTGATTGATCCCACTAGTTGCCCTTTGTACTCGATAAGATTTAGTCTACGAGAAAAGCTTAGCTTGGCCCTAAGAGAGTGTATAATTGGAAGACTATCCAATAGACAGACACCTAGAACATGTACCAGGGAGCAGGTTACCATGGAGTATCAAGTAGTAAGTTAGCAATTTCCACAATCAAAATCATTTTTATTGCTCCAAATTATGGATCAAGGAAAAGATCTAAAATCATTCAATAAATCACTCTTTTCAGAGGTCTTGAGGAATTACGTCAAGAGCCTTGAAAATATCAATATGCTTTGATTCAATGATTCTGCATGTGAAAATAATGTGAAATAAACAAATACGTATTTAAGTGCAAAGATATCTACCAAAGTTTCGTTTACATGAACAGCAATGAAATAAATCCGTGTGTTGAGTTTTAAGCATGACAAAGTATTTTCTGCCACATTCCAACCAAGTGTAGATTTCATACTTGTTCGATAATTCAGTGTTGAGGGGTCATTGGAAAGATGTGCGGATAAAGGCGAAGAGGTTAAAAAAGTGTGCACCGCCAGCACATCACAGATGTGCCCCCGTGCGAGTAGGCCACGCCGAGCAGTGTGGCGGCCGCCACTCGTGAGATGCCTAAAATGTTACACAAAGCCCTTCCTCAAGAAGCTGAAGTCCAGGGAGAAAAGACGCGGGTAGCTCAGCACCCCGAAACACTTCGGACGCTTTGCACAAAAGCCGGTTTCGTGGGCAGGTGGCTCTGAGGGCACTGCTCGCTCATTCTGCCCGGGAGGCTCTGGTGCCCAGGTGAAGGCCCAGGCGGAAAACCCAAAAGAGTTCTGTCCTAAAAAGTCTCCCAGAAGCCAAAGTTATCTACCTGGAGAGGCCCTGTTGGCTGAACTGCTAGCTATGCTCCCCGGAACGGACTCAGCGTGGAGGGTCCGCAGGAAGTGCTGTCCCAGCTCAGGCAGTTCGTGCAGATCTCAAGGGGGTGGATCCAACTGAAGGAATCCACCGAGGCCTCACACGGCTAGTTTACTAAGCCTGCACGTAGGACCAGGGCCTACAGGTGACAGAAGCAGATGGGTGGCTTCTGCTGCCGAAAGCCACTCACCAGTTGATGGCAGATGCGCCCCGGTGCCTGGGCAGGAGGGATGGGTGATAGATGATGGAGCCATGCTTCGGGCTGTTGATGACGTCCATGGGGATGAACTGCGTGCAGAAGGGCAGCACGTTCAGCTCGGCCCCCACGGCTCGGTAGGCGTCCACCACCTCCGGGATGCTCCTGCCCTTGACCCTCCATCTGGGGAACTTGAACACAGGTGTCCCGTCCTTTTCTGCAGCCAAAGCTGAGGGTGACAAACAAGGGTGTTTCCAGCTTTCAAAAGTGAGCCCTCATTTTACGTAGCCACACTGTGGGCTGGACTGCTTTCAAACTCCCTGAATTTGGTTCTCCAAGCATTCTCACGTGAATATTTTGTCCCATTGCTCATGTATTTGGTACTCAGTGCAAGCGAGAACTCGTCCCTTGCCTGGAGAAACTCACTGCCCTCTCCAGCCAAAGCAGTTGACGCCCTCAGGACCAATTCGTGACAAGTACCAAGGTAACACCGCATCTCTCAATTGCACATCAGGTTTCAGTTTCCTGAAACATTTACAAATAGAACATGGTGAAAAGCAATTTGGGTTGTGGCCAGGACCTGCGGTATTACTCTTCAGTCATGCCCCACCCACGTTTCTAATGTGATACTTACCTGTTGGTTATGGCTCACGTCTAGATGCACCCCAGACCTACACAGTCATAGGTGGGGCTTTTTCAGAGCTGACTGGCTTTAGAGTGTGGAGTGCTGGGATTCAGGGTCTGTAATCACTAAATCAGTCCGCTGATTGGCTTGGCAGAGCTCTGAGGGTGAGTGCTACCAGCCCTGGGGGGACCTAGCTAGAATATAGACGGAAAGAAGGGGCTATTGCCACTTGTAACCTGCAGCTTGCTGTCTCCTGCCTTCTGCCTTCCAGGTACTGTCTCTCTGCTGCAGTGTCCTTCCGCGGTGCCACCCTGCCTTGGAGCCAGCCGACTATGACCTGAGATCTCTACACATTGCAAGCTTAATAAACCTTTCCTCCTTTAACTTGAGGCATCAAGCATTTTGTCTCAGCAACAAGAAAAGTACCAAGACAGCACTGAAGCATGTACATTTTTCTTAATGTTTGTGGTACAGGGTCTCCCTACACAGCTCAGCCTCATGGTGATCCTCCTGTTTTCAGCCTCCCCACTGCTGGGATTACAGGTGCGTGCCACCATGTCAGTCAGTCTCGGTGGCTGGCTCAGCACACCTGGGGACGAGGCTGGTGCAGCATGTGGTGACAGGGATCAAACCCCATCCCTGTGTTTGCCTAAGCAGGAGCTTAGTCCTCTGAAGCATTTTATTTATTTTTTTTTTTTTGAGACATAATCTCACTATGTTGTCCAGGCTGGCCATGAGCTTGCTATGCAGCCCAAGCTTATCTGAAGCTTGCAACCCTCCTGCCTCAACCTCCTCTGCTGGGATTATATGCATGTGCCATCTTTCCCAATTTGTCTGTATGTTGAAAATGTATTTGAACTCAAACTCTTGTGGCTAGATAGTGTTTTGAGATTTTAAACAGCTCTTTCTTTCTTTTTTTTTTTTTTTTAAGATCAAAACTGGTATCATTAGGGCTGGGGATGCAGCCCAGTAGTACAGGACTTGCCTAGCAAGCACGTGGGCTTCAGCCCCAGCACCGTCAGGGAAAAAAAAAACAAAAAACAAAACACTTTATGACTGGTATGGATCTTTGAAGAACATCGCTTTAGACCTGGAGCCCAATAGCAACACCTTAACCCTGAATTAAACATTCTCAGCCCCCAGCATGGTTGGAAAGTCTTAGGAGCCCCCACTGTTTGATGATGTAAAGTGATCCTGGGGAGAGTCACATGGAGAGAAAAAACATTTTCTCAAGCTTTCACCAAGAGCAAATTGGTCAAGTAATGGCCAGGACTCATCCTCATGTCTGACACTGAAAAAAAAAAAAAAAAAAAAAAGGAGCCCCCCACCCCCACGCAGGACCCATGCTTCCCGCTAAGCAACAGATCCAAAAGAGCTGAGTTTGTCCCTGTGTAAAGGACCACCTGGATGACTCTCCTTGAAAGAAGAGCAGCTGCCTCCGTTTTGGCTGAGCCGGGCCCTGTTCCGTGCACTGACGTGTACAGAGCCGGCCAGGGCCTTCCCTGATCCCCTCAGTGGACTTTTAGCAACGCAGATCTGTCTGACTGAGGGAGTGGTGCGTGGTCTTGAAGCCAAGCGACAGCGTGAAGCAGGTGAGGGGGGCCACGCTCCGTGCTGTGGGCGGGGTGAGCCTCGAGGTAAGAGGCTCTGACTTCCCAGGGCGTGGAAGATCACACATCGGCCCAGAACTTGGATGCCACCTCAGCTGCCACGCCGATCGCTCCCTGCAGACCCCTCTCTGGCATTGCAGAGGTGGCTTCAGGCCTCCCCCTAGCCAGCTTGCAGCACTCAGATGCTTACCCCTTCCCACAGTCACTCAGCCCGAGGCCCTGCCCTCTTCACGCATTAACTAAACCCAGGTTCGGCCCCAGGTCCAGGCCCTTGTCCCCGATGGCCATCCTCATGGCCGGGCTCGGGACCCTCTGGGCTCCCCACAGCTACAGATACACAGTAGTGCCTTTATTCTCACCAGGGCTGCACCGGAAAGGGTAGGTTGGAGTTAACCTGCTAAAACTCCCATAACCTTTTCATGGAGTGGCAAAGAGAAACTTCTCACAACTCATGAGACCCTCGCTACATCTTTCCTCCAAAGTCACCGGAAGATAAAGCTAACAGTGAGAGGCTAGAAACAGAACAGGGGAGCAGTGCCGTCTGGGGACAAGGGCCTCTGTCCTGACTCCACGTGGCAAAGGGGTGGCGGTGACAGGGCAGAGGGCATAGCCTGCCTTCTCCAGGATAAGATGTCACTGTACAAAGTCCTGTAGGCCTGGGGAGACAGCTCAGTAGAATAAGCACCTGCCTGGCAAGCGCAGGGTCCTGAGCTCAATCCCTGGTACCACAAAAAAAAAGTCCTATAGATGCTCTGTGTGTGTGTGTGTGTGTGTGTGTGTGTGTGTGTGTGTGTGTGCTTATTGTGTACCTCATATGAGGTATGACACAAAATAGTCAATATTTACATTTTTATTTTTAATTAGTTACAGTGAAAGGCACGTTGCCTCGAACCCCTCTCACTTCCAACACACCCCCACTTGCTTGCTGCTTTCTGAAGCAATTCGGGAGTCCTCTTTTGTGTCTCCTCAAGGCTGCCTCAGTCTCCTAAAGTGATTCACAATGGCCAATGGCCAGGAAAGTGAGGGTCTTGGGTCAGTTCAGGACACCAAGGCAGCCAGGACAGCCCGGCCAAAGGCACCCCGGAAAGAGGCCTCCAGAGCGCTGCAGAAGGTGGCGGGAGGGTGGGGTGCGTGTGCTGGAGCCCGCAGTAGCACTGGAGGGGCACTAACGTCAGTGTGTCTTTTAGAGTGATAACTATTTTCATTTTAAACATTCACCATATTTTATCATATTTCTATTTATATAAGTAACATATATGAATATTACTTTAATGCTATTACTTACTGATATATATTATTACTTATTGATATGTACTTATTGATAGATGTTATATAAACATAATATATGAATGTTTAATACTTATCAAATATCTTATTACTATATTTACTACTTAAATATGTATTTTAATAATAAACACGTTTTATGTGTACTATCACATATTGTATTACACAGCATATGCATCAGTTTTTCTCTTGCTGTTTTTCACATGTGGCGAGATTTACTCAGAAGGGCAGCGTCCACCCCGGGGCCCGCGTGCACTGAGGCATGGGCCGGGTCGCACGGGCTCCCTGCGGTGCTGGCTGCTCTAGGGCACAGGCTGAGGGCCCAGCCTGGGCTGCAGCAGGGTGATGGGGTGGCACGCATCCGGGCAGCAGAGCAGTGGGCGTGGGTGGGCACCGGAGCAGGAGCCGCCTGCAGGCACCCCCAGGAGGTCACGGCTGTGTGTGCCGCCAGGCGGGGCATCTCGCAAGGCGGCAGCAGCCAGAGCAGAAGCCAGCGACCTTGGAGATAAGGAGTGTGGAAGCAGTGTGACTGGGTGTGACCTGCCCTACAGGGATCCTCAGCAGCCACAGGATACTCTCTCCATCCTGTGCCACCTGCAGGGGCAAACAGCCAGAAGAGGGCAAGGTGGGCAGCCCACAGGGCCACTGGAAGGTGCACTGCAGGACGTGTCCCTCTGGGAAGAAACCCCACGCACTGCCCATCCACAGGAAGGGAAAGGAGCTGGTAGCCAGGAAGGGGCACCAGCACCCTGAGAGGACAGCTCAGAGCTCAGATGCCAGCTCAGGGAAGGCACAAGGGAGCCACATTGAGCGAGGAGAAGGAACAGTAGCCCAGGGCCAAGGGCTCATCACTCATCTTCCCAGAGAGCGCCGGGCTGGGACGGCAGCAACCCAGCCCAGCCTGCCCAGCCAGGGCAGCACCGCAGGGAAAATAGGGTCGCTGAAGGGCGCAGCACACAGATGGAGGGCCAGGCACGAGGGCAGCATGTGAGGGCAAGGGTGGAGGGAGCCCCCTGTGAGCTGGTGGCAGTGAAGGAAACAGGAGAGTGTGACCAGAAGGCACAGCAAAGATGCTCTTGGCTAGGCGGTCAATGGCCAGCCAGCAGCATGGGACGTGCTGTTTGGAGGTGCACAAGGCCAGCTGGGTAGGCGACCAGTGCAGGGTCACCCTGCCACTGTGTGCGGTCACACGCACCATTCGTGGCACTTTCTGGCCAGACCTTCCAGTCGACCTCTGTACCCCTCCCTGTGAGTGACCCCTCCCTGTGAGTGAGGGCATGTGAGTGGCAGCAAAACGTGCCGAGTGTCTGGGTGGTGGCTGGCTGGGCTGCAGGCTGCTCGCTGGCATGCAGACCTGACTGTTGGGGCTGCAGCAGCCTCTCTGGGCAGGCGTGAGACGAAGCCCTGTCTAGATAAGGCCAAAATCGCAGACAAAGGGCGTGCACCTCGTGAGGAAATGCGCAGCAGCCCCTCAGCGCTGCCACCAGCCCACAAGGGAGCGCTCTTGACCCAGTCTCTCCAGATTCACTCACCCAGGGGGTCGGCCCGTCCATCCTTGTCTGGAACCGTGAACACACCCACGACTCGGTGGCCCTCTTTGCGGAGGTGGCTGTAGACTTCCTGTCCAAAGAGGCTCTGTCCGATAAGTGCCAACTTCAGCTTGTTTTTGAAGTAAACCTGAGGGGAAAGTCAGGGACGGCACCTAAATATGGGCTGGAGACTCTGGGAAACCAGCAAACCATCAGACGGGAGGGCGTTGGGGCTGCGCAAGGCTCAAAGAGCCACCAAATAGAACTGCTACTGACACCCACGAGGCACAGCCACGGGGCACGGCCACGGGGCACACCCCCTACAAGTAATGTACCACAGTCCCCAGAGAGCCGCGCATCTTCTCTTCCCCCGAATCCCTTGACTGTTCATGTTAATCCCTGGAACCCCAACCTCAGGCAACAGAGGCTGGGCACAAACAGACAAGCAGGTGCGACGCAGCGCCAGGTGGGCCTCAGTCTCACAGGGCTCTTCACCCCTGCAGTGTAGGGCAGGAACTGGACTCCGCTCGACCTCCCGAAGAAGCCACAGTCAACCCGGGAGCATTCGGGTCCCAAGCACAGGCCTGCCGCTGGCTCCCCGAGGTCAAACCCCGCGGCCGCAGCTGAGTCGTGTGGCCGAAGCAAGGAGCTCGGCTCTGTTCACACCCCTCACTTTGTGAAACAAGAATGACAGTAAGCCCAACCTGGGAGAGTTTTGGTTGAAGTACACAACTTAATGCGCAAGACGACCGCACAGTATATGGTGAAAGGTGACGTCCAAGTGGAAGGTTTGCGCTGCTTCAAAGGTGTTGCTAGACACTGGACTCTGTTCTGTGCTTTTATATCCCCCTCCCCCCATTTCTCACTCTTTTAAGGGCCCGGGTGACATCCCTGAACGGACACCAGGTCGCAACTTCTCTTTAGCTGAGTTGCTAGTGAAGCAGTTGGGGCTTCAGATTCAAGCGTCCTTCGCTGGTCCACCAACCTCTCTCCCCGCAGAGTCTCACGAGCTTGCGCAGATTCCCTTGCACGAGCGCAGGCACGCTGCTGAGTTTGCGCCCTCCGAAGTCGGGATGTCTGGAAACCCGTCTCTCTGTGCCTCTCTCAGGCTGCCGCTTGAAACAGCCCGCGTGGTGGGCATCTTATACAGAGCCCGGCTTCCCGGGCTTATACCACTGCCCATGCCAGGCACTCAGGAGCACGTGCGATGTTCTTTCAAAACGCACCAGAAGCGGGAGAATTCGAGGACCACAGCAGAATGCGCTTCTCAACTGCTGCCTGGCCATTTGGGGTTCAGCTCACTCTTGGAAGCAGCCTACATGTCCACCAGTAGACAGAGGGGTAAAGAAGGCACGGTACTCATGAATGGAGTAGTTCTGTGCACTGAAGAAGGCTGCATCTGAGTCACTTGCTGGAAAGTGGATGTACCTTGAGACCATGAAGTTAAGTAAAATGGATTGCACAGCTTAACTATCTCGTGCATTGGGCTGGCCAAATAGCTCAGCGGATTAAAGCACCTGCTTAGGCACCCGCAGTGGCCGGGGTTCAATCCTCAACCTGCCATGCAGGCCCCTCCCTCAGGGCGCTCTGAGATGGTGACTGAGACTGGGCATGGTGACACACATCTGTAATCCTAGCTCTTGGGAGGCTAAACACAGGTGGATCACTATGAGTCCAATCTACGTAGTGAGACCCTATAGACCCTTATTTAAAAAATACAGGAAAAAAAAATCTCATGCATTCCTACGAGAATCTCAAAGTATAAATAATGGGCAAGAGCAGGGACCAGGGTTCCATCCCAGGTCCAGCATGCTGCGCTGGCTCCGCCCCCGGGGTGCGCTGAGTGGGTGACCAGAGTCAGGCATGGTGTCCCACACCTGTAATCCTAGTTCTTGGGGAGGCTGAAAACAGAAGAATCACTATAAGTCTGAGCTGCGTAGTGAGACCCTATGCCAAATACATAAAATAAATAAATAAAATC